AAAACTGCTTTTATCACCTAATCTCCATAACCCCTCCTTTTGTCTGATGATCATAATATCAATATTTAGCATCAGCTCAAATTCAGTGTCTGAGTCAGAGTTAGTAATCCCCCCAAAGGCTGGTTCTTTCTTTTCCCTTTTGGTGAAAGCTAGGATGATTTCCAGTATATTACTGTGACATTGTCACAAGTAATTTCCTCATTGGAACCCAAACTCCTATTCATTTAAGAGGCTCTTGATCTGTGAATTGGCTCAGGTGACCTATTCTGTGTATATTAGTCATAATCACCTTTCCCTAGCCACCCATACTTGCTCAGTGGGTTCATAAACAAAATGGGCAAAGTATAGTGCAGTGGGCTGAATGGTGGCCTCAAATATATCAGGTCCTAATTGTTGGAATCAGTAAATGTTATCTTTCTGGAAAAAACAAAACAAAACAGGTCTTTGTAGATATGATTAAGTAAGGATTTTGTTATGAAGAGATAATTATTCACAATTTGTGAACTCTGAGGGGCTGTTTTTCCACAGTGGTGACTTAAGGCAAACTTGTGTTTACCAGATTTAGTTGGTGATACAGATCAAGTAGGACCATAGTAAGTTTCACGTTATCAGTCCATATGGTTACCATAATAAATTAATCACCACCATAGATGCCCATGGTCCAAGACATTCTAATAACCACTCTGGCTCTGCTGCTTACAACTTGTAGCCATGTCCATTTTGTGTCTTTGACATTTAAGTACCGCCATTTGACCTCTACCATCTGAGATATCATCATTCCTACTTTAGATTTTAATTTAAATCTAAATGTTGCATTTGGTCTCCAGATCTATTAATGAAACTGAAAATACTTGTCACACTCGAGGGTGAAGTGAGAATGTCACTAACATGATGCTACCTACCATGTAAGACTCATGACCAACCCATTCTCCCATTATCAAATAGCTAGGTAATCATTATTCTTGAAAGACTGGTTCTTAGGACAACTTCCTCACAGGGAGGAGAAACTCAGCTTAAATGTAATGTATCATGAATGATAGAGAAAGAAGGAATTTCAATGGATTGTTTTCCTTTTTCCCATGGAAAATTCAAAGAAAGAAAAAATAAAACTGAGTAAAGAAATAATTAGCTGGTTTCTCTAAATGTGCAAAACTAGATTCAAGGATACTTGGAAGCTGACAAGACTATGTGGAATATGCATATAGATTGATGAAATACATTAGTTTGTTAATTCAAACAGCAAGTTAAGACCAGGTGTCTTTTTACATTTTGGTCTTGTATTTAAATTGAAAAGTACCCTACCATTCCCTGGAGAAGGACATTTTTGTAAAGTGGAGGGTCAGCAAAAAAAGGGAAGGGCCTCAATGAGATGGACTGATACAGTGGCTGAAACAACTGGCTCAGGTACAGCAAGAATTGTGAGGCTGGCGCAGGACTGAGCAGTGTTTCATTCTGTTGTGCACAGGGTCCCTATGAGTTGAAGCCAACTTGATGGCACCTAATAACAACTAGCATTTTAGACAGAAATGATCATATTATTTAAATCTTCCAACATTTTTCACCAAAGTGGGTAGTGTTTCATTCTATCAAACACAGGGTCACAATGAGTCAAAACCAACTCAACAGCACCTAACAACAAAGATTTTTAAAGTTTTAGAATGGCTTTTAATTTGGACTAAGTGTGCAGATGCTCAATTACAATGTGACCTTCTGATAAGTGCATTAGCTTACTTTAATTAGATAGATAGGCATTGTCGTGTCATCTAGTGATACTATACCAGAAATACCACAAGTGGATAGCTTTAACAGAATTTATTCTTAGAAGGCTAGAAGTCTGAATTCAGGGCATCAGCCCTAGGAGAAGGCTTTCTCTGTCAGCTCTGGGAGAAGGTCCTTGTCTCCTTTCAACATCTGTGGGTCCAGCAGCCCTTGGAGATCTCCAAGTATCTTGGCAACAATCTTCCCCCCTAGGTCTAAGAGTTTCCCAGCACAGGGACCCTGGGACCAGAAGATGTGCTCCACTCCAGGCTTCTCTTTCTTCATGGTAGTCAGGTCTGTCCTTCTCTACCTGCTTCTCTCTCCCTTTTATATCTTGTAAGAGAAAATGTGATGCAGGCCTCACTCCAGGGAAACACCTCTCACACTGGATCAGAGCTGTGACTTAAGTAAGGGTGTTACATTCCATCCTAATCCCCTACAATTGATTGGCTGATCCCATCAGGTCACATCATGTAACAGGAGGATTACATCATTACATTTGCCAAATTGCATCATTTTACAACTGCCAAACCACTGAGAACCACGGCCCAGCCAATTTGCCACATATTTGTGGGGGAAACAATTCAATTCATGGCAGGCATCAAGTGATGTGCTTCATTCAGCATGTATTCATTTTTGAAGGGGACACACTATGAGAACACATTCTCTAAGAAGACCTTACCTAGAAGAATGTAAAAATCAAACAATAAATTCAAGTTAACTTTCTATTTAAGACCAGATGGATCTCCAAGAAGCAAAGAAGATATGAAGAAAAATTTGATTGTGTGTGAGCATGTAAGTATGACTTTCTGTGGTAAAGTGAAAATGACCAAAAAAGGAGGGAAAAAAAAATACACAGGCTTTAAAACAAAACAGAACGAAAAAAAAGATAGAAAAACTTTTAATTTCTCAAATGTTATAGCAAATCCTCGACCCGTAAGTCTAAAAGAAACCAAGAGGTAACTCAGATCATCCCTTGCCCTAAACATTTCTTTTATCAATCACCATGTAAAGACATCTATGGACACCTTTCTTCACAAGTCATAAGACTCTTTTGATGAATAATGCAGAATCTCATAATCCTCACTTGGTGATATAATACAGTATCTCATAACCCTCATCTGGGAGTAGTTTTGTGTATCAATTATCATTTCCTGATTTAGAACTCTAAATCCCCTTGTCTATTTAAAAAACAGAAAACAAAAATCTGTTGCCATTCAAGTCCTGGCTGTACCTTTTTTGGGTAATTGGTATTAGGAACACCAAGCCCTAACACATGAATGATTTGTAGTGTTTCAAAACAAGTAATGTGTTTCTATTTCTTTCTTTTACAACTATTTTATTATGATTCAGAAGCCATCTGCCTAAAATACCTAAGACTAAGCATAGATTCTAAAACATACCACTATTGAGGGCATGGTGTCCAAGGTCACTTGTGAAAATCACTTGTATGCCGAGTGCCAGGTGACCCATCTCCTTAAGCAGGTTTTATGGTTTCTGCTTGGATGCTGTGTTCCTGGTATATGTAGTTCAACATCAAGGTGCCTTTCAAACTCTGCTGCCCTATTTCCCATCCAGCAGGATGCTTAAATCTAAGTCACCCAGGTCTGTAATGAGCAAAGAAGTTTACATTCCATGACATGTAGTCATCTTTTTCTCAATAGTGTTATGAATACAGCTCACTGAGATTAAAGCTATAACAAGCTGTTTGTCACAAGGCGAGAGCTGGGAAGAGTGTAAACAGCTCAGTGTGATCTGTCACATTCTAATGAGGGTGAGATTCACAAGTTCTGCTCCAACAGTAGCAAGACAGTGCCTGAATTACTGCATTATCAAACAGATAAAGCAGAAAAATCACTTCCACCTTCCAGTTTTCTCTCTCATACAGAGTAACTGAATTGCATATTTGGAACAAATCTATACATAAAAATATTCCTAATGAATAACCAAACACTGCTAGATCTCATCTTCCACAATTTGAATAATCTCTATTAAAATATTTTTAAATGCCTAGAGTACGTGGTTCAAACCCACCAGCCACTCCTTGGAAGGAACATGGGGCTATCTACTTTGTAGTGATACTGCTTTGGAAACCCAAGGAGGGGTCGCTATAAGTCAGGTCCGACTCGACGGCACATAACAACAACAACAACAACAGAGTATGTGGAGAGAAAAAGAATGAAAATAATAATAAAACTAATCATCCGTTAGTGTCCACCTGCAAAACAGACTCAAGAGTAACAAAAAAGGAAAGATGAGCTAGTTACAAGCATACATTCTACGGGAAAATGCACTGTCATACGTCTCAGGTATTTCTAATCATTGCAAATATTTTTAAAATCCTGTTTTCTATCTAAGAAAAAGTTAGCTGGTTTCAAAGTTTTACCAAAAACAAGATGCAATCCTCATTCACTGATTTTCAGATATGAGGCATACAATTTCCATGTGATGACTGAGAAACCATGAATGTTGGTGGGAAAGGCTCCATTTATCATACCTTAAAATGACCTCTGAGGAAGAACCTGCAGGTACAGTAAGGGCTGAATGATCTCAATAAAAGAACCCAAGAGCTCTCCTACTTTAGTTTGGAACAAACAAACAAACAAAAGCACAGGATTAAGAAGTGCTAAGGAGCTCTGGTAGCATAGTGCCTAAGGCACTTGACTGCTAACCAGAAGGCTGGCAGTTCAAACCCACCAGCCACTCCTCGGAAGGAAGG